GGTAGTAGTGACGACCTTTTTCACATACTACTATGTGGCTACGTTCGCAGTGGCAGAGTGTTTAGGACTCTCACCGACCATGCACGTGGTCCCGGATTAGACTCCCTGCTGGCGCACACCTGATATCTATGGACGGCCTCCAAAATTTGGGCTACAGATATCACATGCCGAAAATTCCATACCTGTATGAAAAATACGGTGTGGAATCAAGCTGAAATATAAAAATCGTTGAATGAGACACTGTACAGTGGTGGGACAAGTTTATGGAACTTTCATCTAGCCTGTATTTCCCCTCTAATATTTTTGACCCACAGACAAACAAAAAATACCACTATATGCATCATTGCGGTATCAATCGGAGGCACAGCTAATGGCAGTTAAAAATGCTATGTGCGAATAACATTCATGATATTTTCTGCACAATTAACGCTCTCCGAATTTCAAAAGTAGTGTAAACAAGGAAGACTCACATCAGCCGACTAACATAAGCCGTCAATGTTCAACTCTTACTACGCTGGACCTCACGCTGTGCCTGGTAGGCTTTCAGAAACGATTTGTATTAACCAACGCAAAAAATCAGAACACAGATTGGCGACTCGAGAATCCTTTATTCTTACGCCAATAGGTAACCAGGAATAAGGTTATTATACACAAGATCTAAGAATAAATGTTAGAAACAACAAATCACGATAATACTTCTGATAGTTTTCTGTCTCCCACTGAACAGCGAACGATGAGACGATGACTGCTGGATTTATGACTTCCGCGAAAAATATGGGGGAGTTGGGTTTGAGCAAACAACCATGAATTGACCGTTCAATCTTCGACTACTTTGACGACCCCTTTATACAACTTATAATATTATTTTTATTTTCTTAGTGCTACACTTTAGAAGTTAAACAATGTGTGACAGTGGAAACCACATGACCAACGAATGAGGGAGTAGAGGAAACCTTATTCAGCGAAGGTGGTGACATGTAAAGCGTTTAACTTTTATGATACTTTTTTCTAACTTCAGCGATTTAAAAAATACACTTTATTCGTTTATTTGCGGATGTCGGGTAACGTAAGTTAACCACGTCACAGCGATTCGACATCACCGAAACAATTACGATAGGCGATTGTGTAAAGATGTTTGGTTGTTGTTATTTTTCATTAAATATATTTAACATCCTGCTTACCATACTTTTCTTATCATATCTGAGTGAAACTAAATAATAGTAATGGACTACTTTTGAATACACTTAATTTTATACGAAATCGAACTCAACTGCAGTGCATAAGTTCTATTTTTATTTTTCAAATACAGAGGTTAAGTTATTTTGTAATTGGTCCTTACAAATTTACCTATGGCTAGGGGACGTACTCGCGTAATTTTAGGCAGATATTTAGTCTTGACTAAGGCACTTATATTTCACCACCTATATGGATCGAGAATGTTCGTGCAGAATTACACTAACGTATGGTAACGAATTCATATCCTAGGGAGTACCGGTCTAGCATACCGTACTCACACTGCATTTATATCAAGTAGAAAACAAGAATATTAGATAAAAAATTTTATTTCAGTGCAAGGCAAACAAGTTCACTTACATGTATAGGCCGAGCACAGTTCAAGATGGAAGTCTTCGTTTGGGAAGTATCTCCGATTATTCGGCGGAAACTCTCTAGCATCCAAATGACGTCACGTTTAAATTCCTCAGCAATTCAAGTATACAGAACTGTACTCTCACATCCAAAGTTATCCGGTATCACGAACTGGAAAAATGAATATCTGCATGGTTACAAGTGAATGAGTGAACTTCCCTTCAATTGTTGTTGTATGTGGAAACAATTCCTACAACTTATTGTGCAAATGTATCTGGTCATAAGTCGTGAAACACTCGCCAGGGCTTCTAGGATGTCTTCGTCCAAATGCCACTATGTCTGCTTCCACTGAATTTAGATAACTGACAGACATCACTATGACTTACCCCTCCTAAACGTAATACAGATTAAATTCACCAACATAAATTAGGCATCAAAACAGTAATATGCATGGCCATATACGACTTAGGTATTCAATAAATTCAGCTGTCAATGTAGCTGAAGATTGAACGGTCAATTCATGGTTGTTTGCTCAAACCCAACTCCCCCATATTTTTCGCGGAAGTCATAAATCCAGCAGTCATCGTCTCATCGTTCGCTGTTCAGTGGGAGACAGAAAACTATCAGAAGTATTATCGTGATTTGTTGTTTCTAACATTTATTCTTAGATCTTGTGTATAATAACCTTATTCCTGGTTACCTATTGGCGTAAGAATAAAGGATTCTCGAGTCGCCAATCTGTGTTCTGATTTTTTGCGTTGGTTAATACAAATCGTTTCTGAAAGCCTACCAGGCACAGCGTGAGGTCCAGCGTAGTAAGAGCTGGACATTGACAGCTTATGAGAGTTTGCTGACATGGGTTTTCACAAGGAATCATTCCATTTCTACAGGCACAGTATATTACGTTATAAATTTTAATCTTGAATTATCCTTAATTAATATTTCTTCAAATATTTTAATATTTCGATTACTTTGAACGCCATCAGAACAGGTTATAAATTTTAAATTGTAAACCACTGACAATCAACCCCGTAGATCTGGGTGTGTTATGCCCTCTTGTGATTAAAAGCTATTTCAGGAGGATCACAAAGTCCTGAGAAACTGCGAAAAGACATCAAATACAATTATGGATATTACGTCATTGAAAGTTCAGCAACAAGATATAAACAACAGGTGGCTACAGAGTCCTTGGAATGGTAGTATACACTGCAATGTTTTATGTTAACCATACTGGCCTTATCATGGAAACGATGGTGTTTCCGATGAAAATATAGCTTTGTTTTGGTGTTTTTTCCATCAAAGCAACCAGGCTCCAAGCAAGCATCAAATATGAACGAATAGTAGGTTTTGGCCTTAATAAAGGCCTGGGTAGTTAAGATAAAACGGAGCATAATATTGCGTGAACGAGATTATCTTGAGTTAGATGGGCAATATTTCAGTGAGAAGTGGATTCAAAGATCCGAAAGATTAGAATCCTTATGATGAGCTGACCTGTAAGAACTCTCACGAATTTATGTAGTGCCCATAGGGTGGTATTGATGCTTCGGCATCATTCTGAACTTTGAAAGGTGGTTTACACATCTAAAAGATAGTAACTGGAGTAACACTTTCCATCTGTTCAGAGTATTTTCCTTGACGCAGTGTCTTATCAAAAATTTGCAGTATTCCTAGTGGTTTTATAGGAATCTTGGTTTCCTCTTCATCTTCATCGGCAGTCCTTTGACGCACAATAGAATGCAGTAACTACACATACTCAGGCAATGTAACCTGAACATCACAAAATCCCTATAGATATTCTACTGAACAAAAATGGTTTTAAAAAATGAGTCATAAGTGCAGCTTCCTCATAATTAATAGCCACAGGTAATTCATGAAGGAGCTAAGAATATCTTAGTGATCTGAAAATGAATGATTTTTAGGAATGGTATATTTTACGTAACGACCGTACTAGTTGTAGGATGCAGCTGCTAGCTACTGTTCAGCGGGAGGGTAATACTAACTAAAAACTCTGCTAAATTTCAAAAGGGTTATCCCAGTGCACACTGATATCAAGATAAGTTGATGCCATTCAATGCACTGAGCAGTTAGGGTCTTCCGAAATCCCATGTGACAATGTAAATTCAACTGGTAACACGTCTCCGGCTGAGAAATTTTAACCGTCAACTTCATCGAAATGGACGTAATCACCACAAATTTCAGCCACTTGTCTCATCCACCGTATGATTTCTTCGATGTGTTATGGAAGATTTTAATCATCACAGATGAAAATAAATATGTTTAACCTCCCCAGAACATACATCTAAATTATGTCTATGGGCTTATTCTCTTTCAATTACCTGATTCTCACAGGTCAACCTGAAAATCTAAACCAACTCACAAATAATAGAGGTTAAACGCTCCCAAACGGAAATAATAGTCGTTTCTAAGCATAAATTCTTTAAATGCATGCCTTTCTTCGCAATAATTCGTCTGGGATGTCAAGACACTATCAAGCAATAATACGAACACAATACAGGTATATATTGCTTTTTTCGGCTACAGAAGCCTAAAACTAGCCAAATGCACCGCATTTTCACAAAAATAAGCGCTTATAACGCCTCTACAGGCGTGAGTGCGATAACCCATACAGTGCGTGAAAATACATCGCAATAGCCTTTATCCTCAGTCCGCCGAGCAGCACACTGCATTTTAGAATCCGTTTCGAAGCTAAGTATGTCTTCTCATTAATCTTTTTAAACAAAAGTTGTGTGAAGTGCTTACGTTTTTAACATATAACAGAAAATTGTATAATCACATTGTTCCAGACTCCACAAGACCAAGGATGGTAACAAAACGTTTACTCCCTTCCAATGAGTCTGTTGTCTAAGCAGTACTTAAATACTAGATTTGGATGAAATTCTGTGAGTTACTCGTTACAGGATCTATAATTCCGTCCACATACTGTGGAATCACCTGACTTGTAGCTCCAGTTCAGTATTCCGTTCATTGGGCAGTTTCGTTTTCGGCTGCTATAAATAGGTCGCCCTTTCTACCTACTGATTTGTTGGAGTTTTGTAAATTTACTTGGTTTTCTTTATGCCACTTTTGTTACTACGATCTATAATACTACCGTTACTGTTATTTTTGAACAAACCTGGCAGCCGCAGTGGAAGTAGCCAAACGTTTCAGATGAACCGCACACTAAAAACCAAACATGAGCAACCTCCCACACACACCTCGAGATCTGACGAATCTATGGAAGGCGAATGATGGGGTGAACTACATATTATTTCATCAAATGTCATTAATTGTTGCTGCACTACCAAGAGGTTGGCTCAAATAAATCAGCTAAGTGTATACTACTTGTTAAAAGGATATTGAATTGTGACTCTCGGGTTGCGCGACTTATAAGTTGCAGTTTCGAAGTGACGGGAATGTCGTTCGTGATTCGTATAAGGGGCCTTCCGTTTTCTGCTAATGCAGAGGACATAATCAGTTTTTTCGGCGGTAATATTTCTGTGAATTAGTCCTTAAGTTCTTTATAGATTCCAAAATCAAAGGCGGAAAGCGTGGAATTTACTTCCCCCAAGGACCTAATGGTCGTTCCAACGGAGAGGCTTTCATTGAGTTGGAGAGCAAGGAAGACAAAGAAAAAGCCATGGAACGTCACAAGGAACATATGGGTCGCCGATATATTGAAGGTTAAAGTTGGAGTTATTGTTTATGTATGAATATAGTGTTCGACTCGTGCTCAGAAGAATTAGATTTTGCTATGGGGAACAGGTCCTCTGACACACATAACCGAAAAGAGCATGTTGTGCGATTACGCGGTCTTCCTTATGATACTGAGAAAAAAGAAATTTATGTATTTTTCAACGGTAAGCAAATTTTTAAAATAGCCTTATTGCGATCACGAATAATGCGAACTTGTTCTACATGACAATCTAGGACATATAGTGCTGACGGCATATGACTGGGAAACTAACGTAAACAGAGGGTTGATTTTGAAGAGGATCGGGCGTAAACGCCGTGGAGTTTGACTTATTAAAATTATTGTTATCAGGGATGCGCTCATATTCCGCTGAAGCAAATAAATAGTTTTCCGAAGTCATAAGTTTCGCCGTCAAACTGGGATATATTGGGTTTGATTAGCTTCACAGTGTTTGTGTTGGTGATGTTGCAAGTTAAGTATATAGTTACTGACTAAAAAGTATCTCAGTATGGCATAGTATTCATATATACAGCAATGGAAGCCTTTCGTTCAGTTGACCACTGTCTGGCTACGTGTGACAGAAGCAGTATACGGATTTTACTAGAATTTATTGTAGACAAAAGTCAGAACTTGCTTTTTGTAGCCAGGAAGTCACATAAATTCAAAACTAGCAATCTAGAGCGTTAGAATTCAGTAGTAGTAAGGCTCAGTGACTAGCTCATGTTTGATAGCTATCATTGTTTCATTGCTACTTATGCTTAGGGGCTGTTATTAATAAAATTAGCCCATCATCTTTCATTCTAGTTATAATTTATACTGGCACGCATCTTTTATATTTTATTTTGATTTCTGTATGTCTGTTTTCAAGATACATTTTGCCACCCCAGTATCTGCCACATCTTTGGTTAGGACACCCCAGTTTAATGACATGAGCTATTAGGTTATCTAAGGTAGCATGCATATTTTATCTCCAAAATGTGTTGTTAGTTGGACTAAGTGATGAGCATCACACAAATGTTTTCGTCCTCAGACTAAGTAAAGGCACGAAAAGATTAAGAGTACTGAGATGCTAAGGAAAGATCCTTGTCTTATCATAGAGAAGACAGCTACATTAAGAAATGTTTGCTTTTACAGTTAGGTCCTTGTCAATGATTCTATTCCAAATGGCGTTTTTAATGCAGTACTTAGTTTCTTCATCTGTTGATGGCAAAACTGTGTGTTACTGTCTGATTGAAATAAGTGGCTGTGAACTACTTACATCAGCCAAGAATGATTGCTACCTGGATCGAAGTGATCCAGAGATCAGAAGGCAGTTTCACGCGTGTGGGCCCGAGCTCGTCAGCCTGTTTGACTCGGTTCAAGTCACCCGAATTTCGTTTTGCTACTTGGGCGAACTGGTAATAAACTAGATCGAATTCTCAATTCGCAAATAAATTAGTGATCTGCAATTTGAGGTAGGATTTCACCAGTTTCCCTTAGAAGCCAAAATTATTTGGATCACTATGTGGCCTGCTTGATACTATAAGCGCCAACCAAGAAAACAGACAAAAATGCATGATTCTGTGTAGAACGATATTTTTCTCATAAATTAAAGTCAAAACCTCAAATGAGCGAAACCGCCATCTGGTGTTTAGATCACTTTGACGTGACTGGTGAGCACGACGGGTTGATGTGAGCGTTATACAACCAGTACTACATAGTTTTGTGCGCCTACGCTTGGTTTCTGGATTACTATATATGGTATCAAGCATATCATATGTTGTGATTTGTATAATCTGGGTTCCTAAAGGAAACTGGTGAAATAATCACTCCTGCTTAAATGACGAATTACTTTGCCGAATTGCGAACTGATTTACAGATTGTGAGTTTGACAAGTGTTGATAAGTTTGTTCACAACACTTCGTTGATGTCAGTATGTTAAAGGGGTCGTGATAATGTAGCAGTTAAGTGGTAGTAATGTCTAGGAAATTACACGTTGAGGAATAGGGATAAGTGATTAGATTATTTTGATTGGTCGCGATTGAGAATGGAACTGAAATGAGAATTTCTAAGTGCGATAGGTGGGAGGAATGGCCAATTTATTATATTTATGTGAAAATGACTAAAGTGGGTAAGTTGACTGTATGGATTTTGGAGCACAAATCTATTGGTTAGAGGGATTAGATCTCGTCAGGTTATCACTTGCTGGGTCTTTATTCACTGCCTAGGTATTATATACTCCAGACTGAGAGTAACTTCATTATAGATAAGATTTTATTTTGATAAATCACAGTGTTATACAGTAATACTAACTGATGACGTTTCGAGCACAAACTGTTGCTCATAATTATATTAAGTCACACAACTTTTTACTTCATTTATATACATGAGTAAAATTGATTACACATATGAATAAAGAACATCTTATTTCCCATCTGACTGTACTTAAATGATAACACTAATACTGTTTCTGAATGGGTATTATCCGATATTGATTTTTATTCCAATGTCTAATCAATTTCACTCATGTATATAAATGAAGTAAAAGGTTGCGTGAGTGACTTGATTTTATTATGAGCAATAGTTTGTGCGTCGGTGGTATAGTGGTTAGGACGCTCGCCGATCATGCACATGGTCCGGGGTTAGATCTTTGGCCGACTCACTCCTTTACCTCCCTAAGCCAGAAATAAAGGTGGTAAAGAGGGAAGGTTGGGCATGAGTTTAGCAACCCCATCCTGTAAAAATAAACACTTCTACAGAAACTTCGAGCCACTAGCCTAAAGCCCTATGTTTCACTGGGAACGTGAAGAAAAAAACATCATTAGTTAATATTACTGTATAACACTGATTTATCAAAATAAAATATCATCCACAATAGAGTTATACTCTACCACAGTGCCGAAGTTTTATAATTATGAGTAACTTCACTTGATGTTGCTCTTTCAACCACTTTACAACAGTACATAGAAACGTGTTTACAATACCTGTGCACAGGTTAACAACAATGAACATAACTGTTATTCCTCCACAGATCCATCATTACCTAAGGATTTGTTTGGCGATATTTCCAACATGCATTACTCATACTTTCATTGTTTATAGGCATGAAGTGTGGTGCAGTCTGTCTGTTTTCGACATAGAACTTTGCACAAATGTGCGGAAGTTCAAGTCACCACATTCCGTGTAGCACGCGAAGCAAGAGAAGAAAGTACAAGAAAAGCATAATAGAAACAGTGAGCAGAGGTATGAGACAAAGGAGTAATAAAGAAATACAAAACAGTTTCATTGGAGATCATAAGTCCCAAGGAGTGGATGCATCTGCACCACTGAGAACGATGAGTTTGAGCCATGTCACCAATTGTTTCCAACCATAGATTTTTACCGTCCCGAGGACCCCAGCCTGGAAGTCTACACCTTCCTACATGGCTTAGACCAACTGTTGTGGATTTCATTGACTGGTGCCAAGTTTTTGTTTGACCGCCGCTAGCTTTTTTCCAGCCTGACCCTATATCCGCTAACATTGCTCGTCGAGGGAGGCGATGGCTTGGCATACGTAACACATGTCCTAACCATCTCAGTCCTTGTAGCTTCACGACTTCGTCGATTGATTTCCCCTGTTTACCTAGAACTCTACGCCTAACCTCAATGTTGCTCACCTTATTATGCCACTTTACACGGGAAATAGAGCGCAGGCACCTATGATCAAAGACAGCTAGTCTTTTCATGTCTTCCACTCTCAGTGGCCAGGTCTTGCTCACAGCCATAAAGGAGGACGGAGCGGACTGATGAGCAGTACACCCGCCCTTTGGTCGATAGTCGAACATCTCGTCTACGCCAGAGTCGGCGTAAACTAACAAATGCGAAACGAGCCCCTTGTATTCGTGCTGAGATTTCGTCAGAGATCAGCCCGTTGGGGCTGATGGTACTTCCCAAATAAGTGAAGCGGTCAACGTGCTCTACCACTTCACTTCCTATTTTTAAACTAGGCGTCGATTTAGTCCAGTCCTGTAACATCATCTTGCATTTGGCGGGAGCGAATCGCATGCCAAACATTCGCAGATTGCGGCTCAAGGTGTTTAGAAGACTCTGCATTTTGTCAGCGTCCTCGCTTAGAAGGACTATGTCGTCTGCATATTCTAAGTCAACGAGATTATCCCCTGGTAGGAAGTCAATCCCTGAGTCGCTGAAGTGAGTTAGGGTTAAGTCCATTAACACATCTATGATGAAGTTGAATAGAAAAGGTGGTGCACAGTACTCTCATGCAGTAGTTTATTTTGTTGTTAACGTGGTGCCATGTCAAAAAATATGACTACATTCGGTTCGTCGGTAAGGGTCAACGGCTATCAAGCTCCGGTAGTGACCTAAACTAATAAGATTGATAGTGTTTGCTTTTGATGATACGGCCTCTTGGAATAATAATTGGTGCACAGTACTCTCATGCAGTAGTTTATTTTGTTGTTAACGTGGTGCCATGTCAAAAAATATGACTACATTCGGTTCGTCGGTAAGGGTCAAGGGCTATCAAGCTCCGGTAGTGACCTAAACTAATAAGATTGATAGTGTTTGCTTTTGATGATACGGCCTCTTGGAATAATAATTGGTGCACAGTACTCTCATGCAGTAGTTTATTTTGTTGTTAACGTGGTGCCATGTCAAAAAATATGACTACATTCGGTTCGTCGGTAAGGGTCAAGGGCTATCAAGCTCCGGTAGTGACCTAAACTAATAAGATTGATAGTGTTTGCTTTTGATGATACGGCCTCTTGATCAGAGGTAACATCCATAAACGTTTAAAAATTTTTAAGATATGGTAAAACCATAGGAATGACATTAATATCTGAGATTGTTTAGTACCTAACACTGTCATATGTCCACACAAACATATTATACGGGGAAAACTACTAGGTCCTGATGAAAAATCGTCATACTTTCGAGAAATCAGTTCAGAAGGTGGACTATTTCGGACACTATGATTCCAGTCGATCTGTGTTGGAATTTAACAGCTAAGTCCAGTCTGTTACTTGGTACCGATTATAAGGCCTTCATACACTGCTGTAACCTAAGATTATTTTACATACTCAGTTGACAGGTGTGCCATTCCATCCAGGCACTGTGCCGTGTTTCAAGTTATCAACTTACGTTGTAACTGTCTGTCTTTGTTTTTCAAGTATTTAGTGCAAATATTCCTGTGATAATCACAGGAGATAATTTTGACTAATATACAATCTAAAGTTCAGTAATCATGCATAGACTCGTTGGTGTGCAGGAAAAACAAACCCGGGAAAACCAGGAAGGCTGAGAAGGTATATTGATCGTATATCCACTCATTCTGGATCGTAGACATATCTCCCAGCGTCAAATACTTGACATATTTCTTGACCTGAAAGCGGCATTCAATCCTGTCGACTGGGAAGTGCTGTGGCAATGTTTGATCGCGAAGGGATTACCGAGAAAGTATATGGCACTTATCAAAGCACTTTACTTAAATTCACCTAGTCGCATTATGCCTATGGAGAGTTGTCATTCGAAGTGATGACAATCAGTGGCGTCTGCCCGTGTATACCCACTGTCCCCATTTCTATTCAGTTTCATCATGGATGTACTAATGGGATTGACTTGTTACCAGGGGACTTTATAGAGTTAGAGGTAAGGAAGGTAAGTCCATCGATGAGGTCATGAGACTATGTCGATTAAAACAGCTGGGAGACTCATTTCGCATTCCGAACCACCACCTGCCTCAACAAACAATGCTAGCTGACATAAGATTAGATTGGGAAACATTTAAGTGGGCAGACTGAAACCAACCAACCTTCATGGTTCTTTCTGTTACTATTCTTTCTCGCGCACATTTCTGTCCATTAGTTCTCTCGAATATTTTCCTTTTTGCCATTCTGTACTGCATGGAGTGTGGCAACTTTAAACTGCTGCACTTTTCTTCTGAGTTGTGTTGAAACTGAATTCGTCAAACTTTTGTGCAGCTACGAAATGCAAAGTATTGCAGTTGTTCTTTCTGTTTCTTATTTCCTCTATCGTTCGTATTTATTACGAATTCTACTATTTCGCTTGTGAACTATATTCCTTGACCCATTAAAGATGTATCAGAATAAATGTTTTAAGCGCATTTAGTCTAAATAAATCCACTGATTTCGAAAAGGGCTAGCTTCGTACATTTGTTTTCTGCCATTCGTGCTGTTTCAGAATAGTGCACTGTTGAACAAAGTTCCCACTGTTTACCACATAGGGGTTATAATGAATTTTTAATCCCATTCCACTAATGGCATATATAGTCGCATTTCTAAAGTCAGAATCCCCAGTATTCGTTTGCGGCACTAGCCTGAAAATGTAGTGTTTTATGGGTCATAGCGGTTGTTAAAGTATTTTCTAATCTCACCCACACTAGTGTGATGCATTGTAATGGCGCTAAAGGCATACCTCTGACGCAACTCAATTGCCTTCCGTCTCTGGAGGTACTATGCGCGGTTGCGCAAACATAATTTCATGCTCCCTAGTGATGAGTAGATCTCGCGTCATAGCACAATATACTGAGTGCTTTGCTCTAAGGTAAATTGTAGTTGCACGTAATTTATAAGTTGGTTCACTGTGCAGGATCACAAAGTAGCACTACAAACTTTCCATTTTCTTTAAAATCGTTCAAACAGATAATTAACGAATTTCAGAGCATAGCTTATCCTTGTGCTGTGTTTCTATTTGGGGAATCTAGGTGGAATCAAATGAAACATCGTAACTCCCATTTTTGCTTTGATTGCAGCAAATTTTGGTTAATGAGGCGCCTATCTTAGGCTGTTGCTTACTTATTCAGTTTAATACGTCTGATCGTTTTATTTGTTTCATTCCTTTCCTAATTTTTCGGGTTTTATACAATCTTGGGATCGGCAGGTCTGGAAATAGCTCCCAACGGTATCGGGTTATTGGTGGATCATATGGGTCGTTGCACTGGGGAGGCCTATGTACAATTCACGTCTTCTGAAAGTCTAGCACGGGCAAAGGAGAAGCATATGGAGAAGATAGGGCACAGGTGCTTATTTTCGGGTTTGGATGGGAGGTTTGGGTATTGTTGTTAATGTTTTGCGTGATAGTCCGTCGTATGGGATATTTAATATTTATTTACTTAAGTAAACAGCTTGTTGGCATAGAACCAGTCAATTTTGTGAAAACTTGTTCTTACACCCAGTTAAATTTTTTCAGATACATAGAAATATTTGAGAGTACGATGATGGAAGCTAATATGATGTTACAGCAGCAAATGGAAATAAATCGTAAGTTGTCTGATATTTGACTAACATTTAGGAAATCGTGGTTCGACTGGTGGGCCGATGTTTGCTCGTGGTTACTGTGACAACCATCTTAGTCCGATGGGTCACTGCAATTTTCCTAGAGGGTACGATGCACCGCCGTTTAGTCCAAATGGTCGGGGTCCCAATAGAGGTCCAGTTCCTGGACGATTCACACCGTATGGGCGGCCTCCACATCCTCCTGGGCATTTTGAGTACAGTTCTCCAGCTAGGAGCTTTGAAGGGCTGTCTGCCCTGAAGGGTTCGATTTTCGGATCATCTGGCCATTTTGAGGCTGATGATCCACAAAGCTTGACAGGGCATTCGGTTCGTATGAGAGGTCTGCCGTATTCCGCAACCAAAGAGGACATTGATCGCTTTCTGGCTCCTCTACAACCGGTCGACATCCGGATGCGATTTAATGCCGTAAGTTTAATTCCCAGTTGCATTGGTTATATTTTTGCCGTGTAACTGTCGTACAATATTTTCTTTCTAGTCTAATCGTCCTACTGGCGAAGCGATTGTGGACTTTGCCAGTCATGACGAAGCGAAGGAAGCAATGAAGAAGGATCGCGAAAAGATTGGGTCTCGTTATATTGAGCTTTTCTTGGCATCCACCCCTAAAGGGATATCTCCATCATTTCGAATGGTACGTTGGATATCATTTGACATATTTGATTATAGAACAATGGTGCTGTAACTCATAACCGTCGATCACCTCTTGTTTATAATAGTCGGGGTTTCCTGGGTCCACCATACAACAACTATTCGCACCACCAACTAGATTACGATGATAGGCATTATGCGGAGGACATGGTGTATAATTCAGCTCCGTATGGGCCCGAATATAATCAAAGATACGATACTTTCCATAGAATGCGGCGGGTGTGAGAGGATCAGTAGGGTCTTCATGTAGGTTTCTTATTTGCATACTTAATGATTCTACAGGGGATGAATTATCAGACAGCACGCAAACTCAACGGGAACACTGCTGGTCTTCAAATAATGCATTGCTAATTCCTTCTAATCACAGAATAAACGTTTTAAAATTAACTTGGGCTTCTGAATTGTTATTGATTTCTATTTTGCAAGTGAATTAGAAAAGCTAGTGTGTTCCACTAATTTTTACTATTTATTATAATTGTTTCCTTAAGTTCCTCGAAGAACATAGAGCATCAGTCGCACGTCTCCATTGCGTCCGGTTCTCTGACGACCAACTAACTCGCCGCTTCCCATTCGGGTTCCCCTCGAATGACGCACACATCATGGTCTGGCGTGTGATGTTACTTGATGATTTTCTCAGATTATTTCTCCACCTCCATTTCAACTGCAGATTTAATAATAATAATGATTTACTTTATTCCAAAAACAGTACTTGTGATACAGAATGGAATTTTCAGCATTAATCACAATATTGCATCTAATTTCCTCAAATTATAAATAAAATTAATCACAGAAAATTTTTCACATTTACAATAGAGGTAGTGTTAAAAATATGCAGCATATAAAATGGAAATAGCAATAATAATGATAACAGCTAGGGTAATAATAAGAATACAAGTGAAAATTGCCGTTGGCTTGTGCCACACAGTATTGTCAATGTGGTATAGAAATCCTAACATGTTTAAAAATATTGAATATAATGTTCTTTCTACATGATATGGTGAAGGAAAAAACATAGGTTACAGCCGTCATGGAGATAAGTTGGTGTTTGCAATTATGAGAGTAAAACAGAGAATTAACAGGACCATAAATATAATAGAAGTAATAAAAGTAAAACTTGAAGGTATGTAAGGATGGATGGAGGAAATTGTTTATTTACTAGATGAAAAAAGGTTAGTTAATTCTTGCCTGAGACTATTTTCATCACATAAAATACATGCCAAGTATGGTATCATAGACTTCTTATACTTAGACGTGCGAGCATACAGTTTTATGAAGTTACTCCTTGTTCTACCTGAGGAGATGCAAGGTGAAAGCTGAGGGTAAAGCGGATGCTCCAAGTCAGACAAAATCCCTTTAGCAAATTTATTGCACGAAGTCAAATGCCTATCGACAACGACGTTAACTATGTGGTCCACTGGGACACCACTCACTCTACTGACAGTCTTCAGTATTCTACGAATTGTGACATAGTCTTTTTTAAGCAAACCAGGAAAGAATAAGGGTGAGCAATAAAGAAGAATAGGTAGGATGCAAGAGTTTACGAACTGTAGGATGAGGGGTTGAGTTATACCCGAGTGTCTTAACTTCTTAATGTAAAATGTCAAGCGGAATATTTTACTGGAGATTGCTAAGACATGGGAAGACCAGGAGAGATCAGAAGAGAGAATGAGTCCAAGATACTTAATTTCTGATTTGATTCCTATATCATTGTCGTCAATTTTACAAGTGTCATGAGAATAGATGACTTCTTTTAACTGTCGTTTACATCTTAAGCTGAAATCAACAGTTTGACACTTAGAAGGATTCAGTTTAAGACCGTTAGACTCAGACCATTTGCTGACTTCCGATAGAAAGCTATTTATTTTAGTACAATCTAGCTGGGAGTTAACAGCCATTGAAACCGTTAAATCATCAGCATACTTCACAAAGTTTATTTCATCAGAGTGAGGCAAGTCGTGCAAGTTGCACAATTGGTTCCTGCTGAGTTGGTTCGCTCCGAAAGATCTCTGTTGCTGATCTTTTCTGGCCATCTGATCTTGCGTAGCAGTATTGAGTATCTCTCCTGGTGACCCTGAACGTGACTGGTTGTTTTTGTGTGTTTTCACACCCTCTAGGCCACTTGAATTGGAACTGATTGTTCACTTGACTTGGACTTTGACCCTGTGTGTGAGATTTTCTTCTTATTGTTCGGCAAAATTTCCTCTATCTCGGAGTGTGTCTATTGATTGACCATTCACTGGAATACCAGGCTTCTCAAAATTCTCTAGCATTCTTGGTGTTTCCTCTATCTAATAATGGAGAGTTGTCCCAGTCGAATTGATGTTCTTGGTTGTCTGTATGTAGTGATACGAGGGAGTGGATGTCATGTCTTTTGACGGCCAGCTTATGTTCATGGATACGAAGACGAAGGGAACCTCCACTTTGGCAAATGTAGTGTTTTTCGCAGTTGTTACAATTTTGTAGATGATGTTGGTTTTATTTTCTTTCGTTTTTGAGTCTTTTGGTTGACATAGAACTGAGTGAAGTGATTTTGTTGGCTTGTGTACGACGTCAGTTCCCAAAGGTTTGAAGAGTTTTGTGGTGATTTCTGAAATGTCCTGTATGTTTTGCTTCATATTTTTGTTATTCATCTCTGTTATTCATCTTCTTTGCTTTTGTTTTGTATTCCATAATGAGAGAATGTCTCAACTGGATCTTCTGGAAATGTGTGCAGATTTCTATGTCGAAGGCAGTCACAGATTTTGAAGGTAGTGGGATCTACACTTAAGTTAAAGAAATATACATGTACGTGGAATTCTTTACAAAATACAATAGGGTTTAATTTAGATATCAAAGACATGTAGTTGATTTAATGGATAAAGAGATCACTATCTCAGTAGTACGTAGCTCAAATTCCAAGGTGAATGTTTTCGTGAGAGAATTAGTTGTAGGCTATAATCGAAGGATATGAGAAACTATAAAACCTTGGGGCCAGCTAAAGAGGGCAGCAAGAAATTGGACAAAGTGAAGGTATGCTGCAAAGCCCTATATTGTACTTGGTACCCAAGGGAACAAAAATATTTTATGATGCAGAAAGACTGAGCGAAGAAATACTTACTTTTCAATTAGATCCTCATCTCTGTCTTTACTCTAATATATATAGCACTTTCATTACGATACAAACATATCGCCACTTGATTGGTAAACTGTTGTGTATTGTAATAAAAATGCTATATATATTAGAGTAGAGACAGAGATGAGGATCTAATTGAAAAGTAAATATTTCTTCGCTCAATCCTTCTGTTTTCTAAATGTCTAAATGGGGTTTTTTTTCTATATTTTATAATACACTGTAATCAAAATATCAGCTGATTACTAATGTATCACCGTTAAAGACTATTTAATATGAAAGTATACTCTACCAGTGCTCGGATTTCACACTAACGTTCATGTTATTCAAAGTATTCTATCTCATAGTGATCAATAAACAAGAATGTAAGCTGGACTCCTCATCTGAATACTCTACATACAGTGATATTTATATTTATATATACCACTAGAATTAAATTGAGAAATATGAGACGTATAAGTAAATTAACTACACTAAATGAGTCATGCAAAACATTTATGAATAGTTTTCACGTCATGTTCAAATAGATGAGGGATTAAAATTCAGATAATGAATTACGCTTCAGTTACACCACTTAGATAAACAATTAGTTATTAGATAAGGAACGTGAATATATCAGATATTACATACTAAATAATATTGGTAAAAACAGTAATAATAATAAAACCATAAGATAATGGCACTGACAAATGCTAGTTTTAAATGAACTTAAAATAATATGAGACAAAATAATAATAATGTTTCGTAAGACACATTACAATGATAGATTCAAATTGACCATCATTGGTCTCCATACACAAAGACTGGGTTTATAGGTGTCGTAGATACTGGAAGATCTTCCTTTCGAATCACAACCTTCAAAAGTCATCTACTACCAAAGGACATAAGAGATCTTTACGCAAACTGCAAAAGGACACCATTGTTGTTTTGTATTCTGATAAAGGACAATGGTAATGATGAACGAGTTGGATTATATAAAAAAGTACAAGAAATTTTTTTTGATGAATACAAGTTTGGAGTTGGTATTAATACCAAAGATCAAACATTTTTTTGACCAATCTGAGCTAGAAGACTTTAAGTAATATGAACGTTAATGTGGAATTCGAGCACTGATGGAGTATATTTCAATACTAAATAATCTTAACGGTGATATATTATTAGTAACCAGCTGATGTTTCGATTACAGTATGTTATATATTGTTACTATTCCTTTTGGTTCCGAGTAGGACATGGGGTTTCAATAGCACATCTTCACTTTATGCTATTAACCACGTAGCCTGGTGCCCAACATATATGGCATTTTAATCATCATATGTATTTCGACTGAATATTCTTATTCAACATTTCAAACGCGATAAAGTTTGTGATATAGCCTTCAGTGATGTTTTCAGTTTATAAACTTCTGAAAACTACAGTTTTTAATTTTGACTAGCAATTATATTTAGAATATTATGGGGATAGGTGAAAAAGCAGTATATAAAGTACTATATGTACGACAGTATCCATGAATATAATTCATGACAGAAACATTCGATGGAGCTTTGTACACATACTGATTTCCTATTTCATGAATAACCTCGAATATACGTTCAGTGCTTGACCAATTCTTCACGGTTCAACTCAAATAGTCTAAGTGTTAAACGTTGGTTCATTTTGGCGAATTTTTCTGTACACTTATCAACACATTCAGTCTGTAGGAGAGAGAAAATGAAAAATGTAGCTATTATATAATTATTAATATCATACCTCTTTCTCATTCAATTTGCGTGCAGTGAAATTATTAACACATCGATCAAAACATACTGTACTACATCGAACATACAGTTCCGATGTCTCTTTGATTTGCATCTGAAAACAAGTAAAATCAAGAACGATTTTTTCATCAAAAAAATAATAACACATGTGAATGAGAAATAGAAAAAATTACGGTTTGCGTAGTCCAGACTACCATATGTAACAAAAATATACCAAAGTCAAATCAACGACAAATTATAGGAATGTTCGGAGTGGTATAATCATATATTGTTATTATTCATTCCCTGCGTTCCGAGTAATAAAGTAGAACGCCAACGGCACATATCTATTCTACTCGATTCTCTGTCATCACTCCCAACTGCCTCCATGAGCTATCCTTCCCTACATACACTCTCCAACGTCCAACCCAGGTCTCTTCGGTGTACATATAATCCACCTCCTGTTCCTTCGCGAAATTTCTTGCAGAATTGGATAAGAATATTATAACATAAACACGGATCCCTATTAATTAGATAGCAAGCCGCTACCACGTAGCTCAAGTTTTGTCTGTAGCACTAATTCTCCACGGTCTGATTGTATAATGAAAGTTGGCTAGTTAGCAATAAATTATGTAACAATATACCAGTGTAAAGTTGTTGTTTCACATATTACCAAAATAATTTAAGCGCTTTCATAAGAAATTCAGACAGCTCGTTATCAATTTATCCAACCCCATCCAAAGAGTTCGGTCTGAGGTACAGATTGTGTATATGCCTGAGTATTGTCTACTGATAAAAACGGAAACTCTAATTAACCTCATAAAAAGCTATATGAATAGAAATATTCATAAGTTACACCGTATAATTTAATAGTAGACACAAAGGAGATGAATAATCCTAAGAGTTACTCGTTAACCCTATTTATTTATAAAGAGCAAGAAGGGAAACAAGTCTTTCTGTGATAATCACAGGGGAATTAGCTTGACTAATATGGTATCTAAAGTTCTAGGTTCAATAATCATGCGTAGACTAAGTGGTGCTCGGGAGGCACAAACGCGAGACACCCAGGCAGGCTTTAAACCAGGAAGAGGGTATATTGATCATATCTTCACCCTTCGACGGATTCTGGAGCATAGACATAATTACCGGCAACCAACAGTCGTTATCTTTCTTGACCTATAGGCGGCATTCGATTCTGCCGACTGAGGGGTTCTATGGTGGTGTTCGGCTCTAAAGGGAATCCCGAGAAAATACATCCCATTGATCAAGGCACTCTACTTGAACTTATGCAGCCAGGTGAGAGCTTGAAGTGAGTTTTTCATCTGAAGTAGTGACAACTAGTGGTGTCCGTCAGGGATGCCCACTATCACCATTTCTGTTCACTTCCATCATAGATGTACTAATGGATTTAAACCTCACTGCTGACTTTAGCGACTCAGGGATTGACTTGTTACCCTCAGAGAATAATCTCGTTGACTTAGAATATGCAGATGATATAGTCCTCCTGGGTGAAGATGCTGACAAAAGCCAGAGTCTTCTGAGCTCCTTGAGTTGCAGTCGGCTAATGTTTGGCATGCGATTCGCTCCCACCAAATGCAAGATGATGTTACAGAACTGGACTACACTGACTCTTAGCTAAGAAATCAGGAGAGAAGGGGTGGAGTGTGTTGACCACTTCACTCATTTGGGAAATCGCATCAGCCAGTCCCAAAGGATTGATCACTGACGAAATCTCAGCACGGATACAGAGGGCTAGTTTCGCATATGCCAGTTTAAGCCGTCTGTGGCGTAGACGTGATATCTGACTATCGACCAAAGGACGCGTGTACTGCTCATCAGTCTACTCCATCGTCGTTTATGGCTGTGAGACCTTGCCATTGAGAGTGGAAGACATGAAAAAACTAGCTGTCTTTCACCACAGGTGTCTGCGTTCTATCTTCCTTGTGAAGTGGTTTAATAGGGCGGGGCATATTGAGGTTAGGCATCGAGTGCTACGTAAGGAGGGGAAATCAGTTGACGGATATTGTTCTTCGTTATTACTATTCCTCTGTCTCATATCCCTGTCTTTTGTCCTTATTATGCATTTCTTCTACTTTCTTCTCTTGCTTTGTGTGCTACATGGAGTGTGGCGACTTGAACTGCTGCACATCGGTGCAAAGTTCTATGTCGAAAACATACAGATAAAGAGCAATCATATATTATTAAAAACAAGAGAAGTAGTTCAACAGAGAGGCTCTTTTCGGTGAATTCATTTTCCTCTTTGCCTAAACAATCGCATTTATACGCAATTTTTCATGAAAGTGGGCATTAACAAAAGAGGTGAGTTGCTACGAACATAGCTGTTAATACTATACAGTGCATAAAAGGAGTTGAAAAAGTGTATAACTCGTAGACATAACCCTATTATGTCTCTTGCAACTCACGTCCAACGCAACTGCAGCCCTGATGCTGCGAAAAAACAATTACACTTTTCGAAGGAAATCTTCATGCGAAAAAGCTCTCCACGGAGATTTATTGACAAGAAAATCAAACCGAAAATTCAAAGACAAGGGACGCCATCTGTGGCAAAAACACTTCACATGAACCTCGACTTTAAATGTGACTTCCTCAGTGATGTTCCTAAGGGGAAAATTTCGGCTTCTTCAAGAACTTCCTACTTAGCAACTCTAACAGTGGTATTCTGCAGTCAGCTACTGGTCTGCATCAACAAGACCTCGGATCCGACCACCTTTATGTGTGTCAAACAGTTTACCTGTGCTGTGGAGCCAGGTAAGCTGGTTGTTCGCTGCGTGTCCTGTCTAAAAGGGTTTAGGAATACTATTACGCGTGGTTGCAGAAAGGTAGTAGTAAGTGCAACAAAAGAACACTTTGTCAACAATGATCATCCTATCTCAACAAACGCTTCCTCCAAAGTGAAAAATAACCTGCCAAAGGCAATACGCCTTCGTCCTCTTTGTATTACTAAAGCTTCAGCCATTCGCACAGAACATGAGCTAAGTAGGGTATGGTTGAGTTTTTGTACTTGCTAGTGCGAGCATATAGTTTCCTATATAGGCTTCTTGTTTTCCCTAGAGAGATACATGGGGAGAGTTGTGAATGTAGAGGGTGTTGTGAGTCAGATAAAATGGATTTCGCCCATTTTTCACATGAGTCCATATGCCTCTCCACCAGAATATTAACTAGCTGGCTAAGTGGTAAGCTGCTTACCCTGCTGACAACCTTTAACACCCTGCGTAATAAGGTATAGTCTTTCTTCAATAGCCCAGGAAAGACTAAGGGGGAACAATAGAGAATAATAGGCAGAATACGGGAGTTAACAAATTGTAGGAGTAAGGGTTGGGTTACACCAGAATGCCTTAACTTCTTGATGTAGAAGGTAAGACGGTATATTTTCTTGGAAATCGTCAAGATATGAGACGACCAGGAAAGATCAGAAGATAGAGTGACGCCTAGGTATTTAATTTCCGACTTGGTTTCTATTTCACTGCCATCTATGTTGCGCACCTCGTGAGTGCTAACCAGTTTGTTTAGGTTAGATTTATGCCTGTAGGTGAAATTGACTGTTTGACATTAAGAGGGATTTAAGGTAAGACCGTTTTCCTTGAACCACCGGCTGGTTTCTGATTAAAAGCCATTTAGTTAAGAGCAGTCACTTTGACATTTGACAGGCAAAAATACAGTCAGGTTGTCAGCATTTTTGACTAAATCAATGTCATTTGAAGATGGTAAGTCATGTAAAAAAAAAGAAAAGTGGGGAGAATACAGCACTTTGTGGGACACCAGCTTCAGTGAGTACAGCAGAGGAGGATTTACCTTTGTTTACAGCGTACTGCATTCTGTTAGGGAATGCAACCAGTTAGTGACCCAGGACTCAGTTTGTGTCATAGAGAGCTTATTTAGCAATAGACATCTAGGTACAGAGTTGAAAGCGGAAATTAAGTCGAGAAACGTGCAGCGAAAGTATCTAATGATGAGACGATACTGTTGTGTAAGACGGCTGTAGCGTCTAAAGTGCTCCTACCCTGTCTAAAGGCAAATTGTTTGGGGTCTTCAAAACTTTTAAGGGAGGGTCCAAATTAAGAAGTAGTAGTTTTTCCATAAGCTTTAGAAACGGGAAAGTGATGGTAATGGGTTTGAACTTTACGCTCTTGCTATTGTCAGGTTAAGGGAAAGGGACTATTTTAATGTCTTTCCATGCAACAGGTATAACGTTTTTGGAGAGAGAAGCATTTAGGATTTAGCACAATTACATGCATAAGTGTATTCAATTGACAAGGTTAAACATAACCACAAATAACGTCAGAAACAGGTCATATATATAGTTTTATTGCGTGTAAAGCATAAACTTTTCTGCACATCCACAAGAGTGAACGTCCTTCACATTAACGTCCAAAATAAATAAATAAAATAATAAATTAAACTAGTAGCTAAACTGCTCTTTACAGAAAAATGAATTCCCCAGGGACACTATAGTGACATAGTTTACAGTAGGTCACTGAAGAAGTCCAGGAATGCAGCATAAATAAGTACTGCTGACTAAGCCTTTCTTCTCGGGCTTATGAATGGAACTTACCGGAGCTCGAGCTACAGCCTTGTGATCTATACTGAAGATCCAGCAAGTATAGTACTGACCAAATGTTTTAAGAGATGATAAAACGCATCTACACTGTTAAGAAAATTACGCGTGAAATTTCAATTGGTCGCTATACATCTTAAGACATATCTGATTCCCAATCTCACCATATTTAACTATCTGTGGGGTCTCCAGTTATCTGGAGGTGATTCAGGTGTATTGTGGAGAATTTCGAAGCATTCTACGCTGATTTGTACACTAATTTATCAACTATTGCATAGTTTTTAATTAGGAGTGGCATCAGTATCTTATCGCACATCTCGACAAAATAAAGTGGCAACCATAGATGCCATACCTTACCTTATTGAGATAATCACTCATTTCATCATCCATCTTTGTAGATTATTACGTAACGAGGAGAATGAATCAAAGTAACTGCTTAGCCTAAGGGCCTCAGGAGCACATGTTGTAGCGTATATGTTAGCGTTGGCACGTAATGTTAAATATTCACTGCTCCAATCACTCAATAGCAATCTAGGGAATATTTAACAGCTTGATTTTCAGTGTCGCCAAGGAGAATAAGGTTGTCCTAATAATGACAACAAAAGGGATTTAAGGATGGAGGAGGATAAAAAGTAGGTGTAAGTTGGCAAACACAAATAAATAAGAGGGTAGGACATGAAAGGTTGTATTGCCCATATCAAATTCTTTTCATCAAAATGATTCTTCAGGCAGAGCAGATCAGGCACTCCACTACAGTTAATGGTGCTGAAATTAATGACAGGTTTATAACACATGGCATTTCTTGGTTCTCAGTCATGAAGTCAGTAGATTTTATGTGTCTAATTTGCCTGACTTTTGTTGATGAATTTAAGCAGCCATGTGCCTTAGTTACGGTGTATTCTTGGAAATATTTGTATGCTTAACTCGTTCTGTGCACTAAACTCCTAAAGGCTAGTATCTACCATAACATTTAGGTGAACTCGGTATTTTCCAGGATCCTTTAAGAACAACGGCTAATTCAGGGTCGCATTGAAATGTTTGAAACTGTTTGAAAAAGTGCAGCGCCTCATTTCATTTTTCCGTTTAACCTTGTCCTTTCATGAGGGTTGTAATGTTTTCGCTGTTGTTAGCCCTTAAATTCATATGGGAGACAGTTCGCCAGACGCAATCACTGGTTATGTCAGTAGAGATGATGGCCCTGTTACAATATTCGCAGAGTTTTTGTGAGTCCAATGGACGACTTTACAGGTCATTTAAAGATGTGCTGGAGATTTCTGCATCGTACTTGAGAACGCCCCCAGAAAATTGCGTCACAAGCTAGCGATTTCCCTTCATCGGGTTTCTGTATTTAGGTTTCTGTGATCTATTTGTTTTCATTTGATGTCTTCCCCAGGCAGTGGTTCCAACTAAAGCCAGGGTGATTACGTCATTTAGCCGTTTCCTAGCCACTGGATTACTGAAGACTTATACTCACTAATTGATATTTTTTCTTCCAAAAGTTAACCTAATTTTATTGGACACTGGGTAAGGTAAGGTAATGAGTCTAACCCTTCATTCGGTGCAGACTTAATTCCGCCAATCGATTTTGCATTGTAAAGTTATATAAAGTCTAGGAGTGCACCCAAAGAGGCCTTTGAAGTTTTCTTAAAACGATACACGGCATCTCCAATCACTGCTGCTGAATACATACCTTTCGGTTACAAATGTGCTGTGATTGGCTTATTTTAGGAACCGACTTTCCTGATGGAATAGTTATCAGGATTACCAACAGTTGGCGTGTATGAATAAAGTGGAGAGTAATAATAATAATAATAATAATAATAATAGTATATTCTCATTTTGTACATGAGAGACGCCAGTTTACAGGCATCATCAATATGATAAATTACATATACGATTAGCAATCATAATTAATAATAATGTTTTAATAAAGTACACATTTTTTCCTACTTGTGTAGGACACACCAAATATACAGGCATGGATAAGCATAAATTAAATTTCATAAATTCGGTTTATGGTTAAGTTACATGGTTGCTGGCGTTTTTGTTTTAATAATAATTATAATAATGTATATTCTCATATAAACATATAAATTTACATGAAAATGCATGCCATTTTTTTAGGTCTGTGGGAACAATATGATAACCAGTCATTCAATGGAGCACATCATGAAATATAGGAATATTGACTTCGCATTAACAAAAAAACCCAAGTAAGTTTCGGATGGATTAAAAATACTTGGGAAAAAATAAAGCTTGAAGTTATTCCACAATATAACAAGTCATTCAATGGAGCACATCATGAAATATAGGAATGTTGTCTTCGCATTAACAAAAAAACCCAAGTAAGTTTTGGATGGATTAAAAATACTTGGGAAAAAATAAAGCTTGAAGTAATTCCTCAATATAACCTGGGTGTGTACAAATCCGAATCTCATTTTTGATTTGATTTATATCCAAATTGGGTAATAAGGAAGCTATTTTTACAGATACGATCAGTTATGTTATAAGCTACAATCGTGAAGTTGTATTACAAATTGATACTTTTCCATTGGTATAAGAGTATATTCCACAAATGTAATCCAGGTTGCGTCGTGGAGAAAGTTAATTCGTTATTAACCAGGCAACTGAAAGATACGGGACCAATAATGTTTGCAGATCATTTGTCATTGTAAATGGTCAAATATCCACATTATTCATTCTCATTCAAAAAGTCAAATGGAAGCTGAAATGGTGAGAGAAAAAAGAAGACAAACAACAGCAACGCAAAAGAAAGCAACGGGAGTCCTTAAGGAGTGATTAATAAATATACACATATATATTCTCTTTAGTAACTGTGGTTATTTTGGTACACAAACTAACTAGTCCCGTTATGCTAACTTTTATATTATGTGTGAACTAATATTACTGTCCTGTGTAGAAATGTTAATCATCTAGTTCCAATAATATTAAAATTTATAATTGTAGTTTGCTGTAACTACACGTTTAAACAACTTAAAATATCTATGTAGGGTGAAAAAGAGGGTGTAAGAGTTAGACGTATAAGTGCATTGTCATCTTTGAGCAGTCTGGTGACTGAGGAGATGAACACTGGAAGTGTGTTTGCATCGCGCACATTAGCTGGTAGTCTATTCCAAATGACTGAAAACTTATTTAAGAAGAAGTTGTACCGCACGTAAGTCTGACAGTGCTCTATAGCAGCTAGGTTGTGATGATTTCTAAGATTGTAACTGACGACAGCGGTAGGTTTAGTTAATGGCTCGGAGGAATGCAAGAGAAGATTAGTTAGCTTATAGTAAAAGATTAGGTTTAGCTTAAGGCGTCTTTTCCAGAGGGGTTCTAATCTTAGTCTTTCGTAAGCATTTCGTAAGTATGTGAACCGCAGAAGCTTAGTCAAATGCATGGAGGAGCATTCATCATTCAACAATGCCCAATAGGGAAACGGCACCCCACAGATTATAAAAGGAGCACTGTTTCTGATAGGTCATCCGCCTTGTCCTTCTGTACCATTCATTCGATAACAGCCTACTGAGTGGCCATAGCACTTATAGTTTGTCTTGTGAGTTATAGACTCTCTAGATCGGTATCTCTCTAGAAATGACTTCAGTAAGTGAGTCTGTTCGATTAACCATTCTTTCGGAGCTGTAACTAGCATTTTCACCGGGTGTATTCCTTTCCAGTTTTTGTGACACTGCTGGTGATTTCTTTTGTCGTCATAACACGCAAACATTTGGGTGTTTCACTGCACCGAATAAAACTACATCCACGAAATTGGCATTTTAGTGTTGCACGTCACGAATCATGGAGAAAGTAATCAAGGAACAAATGTCAGACTACTTTCTAAAACGTAAACTCACCAACCAGTCACAATGTGGATTCCTCAGAAAAATTCATGCACTACCTGCAATGTAGACTCTTTCAACGAAGTCGCCTATAGAAAACATATGAGAGAACCAGTAATTATCCTATATTTTAATATAAGGAAGGTTTTAAAGGGAGGTCCACATTGTCTGCGAGTCAGCAGGTTATGCTCACTAATGTTTCTCAACCTCCTCCAGATATGGATGGAATCATTCCTCTGTGGTGGAAATCAGACAACTAGCTTTCTAGCTTACTTAGAAAGAAATCAGCCAGTAAGTAAGCTAGGAAATGGACCTCTGAACAACCCTATCAGTAAGCTCTCATTTTATTGCCGATATGTGGATGATACCTTCATTCTCTGTGATAATGGTTCTGATAGCAGCACACCTATTGTTCTCTACACGGCCGATGGTGCTGCCTCCACTGAAAGGTGAAGTACCTAGACTAGCCACTTCAAATTGTATCTACCGATTCAACTGCGCTTGTGGGGAGGTTTATATTGGCCGTTGATCTAGGAACTTGGTTATTCGTGCTCGAGAACATATCCCAGCATGGCTAAGTAAAGGGTAGTTAAAACCATTAACAGTTCAATATTGAACCATATGGTACAAACCGGCCACAAAGCCAGCCTTGGAGAATCCTTCTGTATAATCTACCGGGTACTTAATTGCTAAAATCATCAAAGCACCGCATGCTCCAAACAGCACGGGCTATTGCGATTCGCCTTAATCAATCAGTGCTCGATGTTCAAAAGAAGCAAGTACAGCCCCTAATACCGCCCTGACCGGCTTTCAGTAGAAACTATATACTCATGAATTTGTAATATTATCTTTCCTAATTTTTCTGACATTCAGCCTTTTTATGTTGAAGCTATTGAGCTGTGATCTATCAATATTACTGATTCAATGCTATTTAAACATTGATGTTGTTCATAACACCAATTCATTCATTCACTATAATGTATATATAAGTGTAGAGCCTGATGATGTTATCGAAAATAGTACTCTTTGTTCAGTATCCACTCTTCTACAGGCTTCATAACGACATAATGTATACCCCTGCTGATTGTACTTGGTTTTCAGAAGACACTGGACATAACCTTAGACACAATCAAGGTACAGTGGCTATAGAGCAATGCAAACGAGCCACCAGGAGAAAGTTTCGATTGATTCGATATGCTTGGATAAGGAACAAACTAACAATGGAAATGCAGCTAGCAAGTACATTGGCCTCATTTGAAAATGCACTCACTGACACATTAAAAGAATTTATAAGCGATACTATCACCAATTCCCATGTGAGAGCTTCAGAAATCGTAGGCTTATTTAACTTTTGAGCCTAAAGATAACACCTGTTGTTTGTTTTGCCTTTATTTATAATTTCAGATAAAACACCAGCAGTTAAAAAAAGAGCCCTCAAACAAATAAGTGTCGTCCATTCAATGTCCAGATGATTCAGTAGGTGAGGCAAAACAGACACAAAGATGAAATATAAGACAGGGGCAAAAGTCACCTCAGAGTTACATAAAGAATATGCATTTGTTGGATACCATTTATACCTTTCTACTCTCTTAAAAGAATACTTTGAGTTCCTATCCACTTTGACCGGAAATTACATGAATCCACAGTTGCCGTTGGCACGATCCAAAGTCTTGGAACTCAGTATGGAGTATATGCTCATTGGTGGTGAGTATCCGCTAAACTATGCATCTAAAGATCACATATACTTCCCATGATCACAGCGATGCATTGCAAAATATGTCAAAATTTTGGAGTAATCAAATTCAACACGAAACGGGAGTAAGTAAATTGCTGCACTGGAAAAGATGTAGTGCACACCTAGAAATTTATCCATATGCTGATTATCTTGACAAATTCAAATCCTTACATATGCAGCGCCAAAAAGTCTGGACATC